TTCAAAATAGGATGTAGAAATGTTGTTTTATTAAAATCTTCCTTGGCCTTACTCCCAAGATTTTCTATCATTGCTAAATTAGAAGCAGCATTGTCGAAAGTGATTGCTCTTATATTTTTTATGCCATTTTCACTTAAAATTATTAAATTATTTGTAATAATATTCGCTCTTTCTTCAGCATTCAAGCTTCTAATAAAATAATAAGATATTAGCGTTTTAAAATGACCGTTTAAAGCTACGAGGATTACAACCAAAGCATACGTGGCTTCTCTGTCATCATCAATATTGTTGCGCTCGTCCGCGCGTTCGCTGCACACTCACTCGCGCACACACACTCGCGAACGCGGCGCGCAATCCCGTTACCGGGAATAAGTACTCTCTGATGAAAAAGAGAACTGGTTTAATGAACAAATGCAATTAAGGGGATCCTACAGTGATAGACGAACTTCCTCGATGTCGATAATGTCAACCTTTCTAATTTTGTTTTCCCTATATCTGTCTTTGTCTAACGAAATGACATCTGTCCTTTTTTCGATTGCTCGCCATCTCTCGCAAGATCCAACAATTACTGTTGCTGCTCTTCTTGTCATTCTGCATCCGTATTTGCATTATTAAAATAATTTTTCGATGGATCTTTTTTTGTACGCATTGAATCTTACTTCTACTTGCACGATAGTATTCCTACATGTTTTCCCAAGGGCAGATGATAAACATTATGTATGTATAAACTGCAGAATTTTTGTTTTAAGCAAATATTGTCCTCAGGCGACAGTTGTATATGTGCCCAAATAAGTAATATTTTTAATTTTTTGGTGTTTTTGATATAAAATCACGTTTGTTACCCTAGATTTTTGTGCGGACTTTAATTCTGTAAAAGATTTTTGCAATTCTATAAAGTCAATTAAAAGATCCATCGAAAAACGATAATGTCGGTAAATTATACGGCTGCAGGATCTCCTTAAGTACAATGGCTCGTGAACACGTCTGAACGGTTCAAAGGCCCGGCGGATAATCTGCATAACAACCAACGTAAACAAACAACGCAACGACGGGCTCGTCGTCAGGCACGACGTTAGGGTCGATTTAGGGTCGATTCAGACACAGCCGTGACGTATCCGTACCGTGCACGAAACAGAACATCAGATAAGGATACCTATTGTCTCCATCCTTGTCTAATGTTGTCTCCATCCTTGTCTGATGTTTCTGTTTCGTGCACGGTACGGATACGGCACGGCTGTGTCTGAATCGATCCTCAGGCAGCGCTTCGCGACTGCCTTCCGGGCTTCTACCGGGTGTCTCGGCTCGGGCGCAACAATATCATCAAAAATCCCAACATCCACAAGGCTATAAGATTTCCGACCATCCCATTCAACACATTTCTTAATGGACATCTCATCTACTTGTATTCCGAACTGTAGAATTTTACCATTTTTTTCGTTTTCGTCTATTACACTTTTAATTGACTACAATATTTGCATAGTAATTCCAGGATTAAAATCAATTGTACTGAACCATTTTCTTATAGTTCTTGGATGAGGTAATCTATTTTGAAATGTTTGTCTCACATATTTATAAGCTGCATTTGGATAAAATAATAACGTAGCAGCAAATTGTTTTGTAGCTTCTGGATATTTTGTAACGCGGTCTTTACTCAGAACATTTTTCATAATTTCTATAGCTGAAATATTTATTGTAGTCTAAACAAAAAATGTTGAAAATAAACAAATTAACTTAAGAAAAATAATAAAATAACATATTAACAGAATTGAAATAATTCTTTCAATATATATATAATAATTAGATGAAAAAGCTAATGAGAGAATCAAACTTTGGCTATCATTAACTGATATTTATATAGTCCGTTCATATTTCAAAATTATTTTAAGTAATAGGTATAATAAGTATATTATATACATGTTATTATCTATTATCAAGAGACACGGTAGTGTCTCGCGCCAAGTACACGCGGAGCGAGACCGACCGTGACTCTTTTACGCGACGCGACAATTTGCGAGTACTCGAGATGTTGAGATCTCGATAATGAGTGAACGGATCAAGTTCTAAGTAGGCTTGATTGATAGCTTGGGGTCGACTTGGGGGGGGGATATCTCTTATAATATTTTCCGCTACGTGCCCTACAAGCGGAGATATTGCGACGCAAAGTCCAAATGTAAAAATTTTATATTAAGATACTCCTACTCCTACTAACGCCGACGTCTTATGACATATTATAAGATATGCGGTAGTCAACGTTTCCCGCTATTTTGTTTTTTTATCTAAGGTTTCCGTCGTGGCGATTTGTGCGGCAATTACCTTATTAGCTATTGGTCTGTTAAGCTGAAATTTCATGCAAGCGAAGAAAAGCCAGCGTTTATCCCCACTCCACCTCACTGTAAAGCCAGCGTAGAACAGCTAACGCTATCGCCCCTATCATTTTCATGGAGCGAAGAAAAGCTGGCGTATTACCCCCAGCCCATGCAATGCAAAGTAGCATTTAAACGCTGAGCTAACGCTACTTAACCGACAAGAAGAAGAACTGTGTATAATAAAAATGGAGTACTCCAATTGTTATAGACAGTACATCGCGAAAAAAAAATATTCAAGAGAGGTTGTACCGATGCTGATACAATAAGTAATTAGATGAATCAGTTCTCTATATTAACATGCATGACGGCACCAATGAAAAATGTAGAACATATTTACATATATTTGAGCAATAATTCAGTTACAATCATTTTTTCAATATTATCCTATCAACATACCTGCAAAAAAATAACTAACAATAAGTTGACAAGTCTTGTATTTAATGTCTTTCCATTATAAACCGATAAATAAAAAGTTTTCGAAAATTATTACAATATAGTAAAAATGATTCCAATAAATTTAACAATTCGATATAAATAGTTTTTATAAATTACTTTTCATTGATGCCATCAGTATGCAAGGAAATGAATCAAGACGATTGCAGAGCGTGTTCAGGCCTTCGTAAAGTTTCCGTAAATTTTATTATATACATAGGAAGAATAGTTAAAGAATAAATTACACCATACTTTACAATCGTACACTACAACACCGTAGTTTACAATCGGCGATCCCTCTCTTGATCGCAAACGAAACCTCGCATGCAAAAAAGTAGAAGAATTTACTACGTGTTGCATGTCTGCAACGATTAAGGCTCCTGGGTAGTCACCGCGGCCATATTGGATTCTTACTATCGAGGCGAGGAAAACACCTAATTTTAAGTTGCGGTATTTTCCGAAATAAAAAGACATTTCAATAAAAAATCACGACAGATCGTTTCAGCACACTTCAAAAATTGACCGGATACTATCCTTTTCCCTCGACAATAAACAAACAGCCATAAAACGAAGCCTAAACATATAGAAAACAAGCCGTTTGACGACTATCAAAAGGAGTGGTGAATGTTCCTTCCGCATATATATTTCTTGCAAATCTTACCATACGGTCAATTTTACGAGTTTCACGAATACGTTAAACGTTAGAGCACAAGTACAGAGCGAATAATAAAGAAATATACCGCAACTTAAAATAAGGTTGTCAACATGTCACAAGACAGAATTCTCCATTGGAGAGAGTGAGAGGAGAGAGTTCTTATTTCTGCCGCGACGGTACGGCGCCACCGTCAACGCAGAGTTCTCGGCTCAGGGACCAGGAGCCTTAATGATCGGTTCAATTTCGCTAGCAATCGACGTTTCAGGATGAAAGCCCCGTCGTCGAGAGTACGCGCACTCTTATTATTCATTCATAGCGTGATATGACGTTGTCTAATAAATATAATCAGCTATGCACAATCCCGTTAGCTCTCGTCGTACAGAGGAGTACCGTCTCCGCTGAGCGACATACTTCGTGGACTAGAATTTGTATGTGGGGTGCCTCGCGGAGATCTGTACGACGGAGTACGCGTAGACGAAGGTCTGCTCCTTCCGGAGGGCGTTGTTCTACCGACCGGCTCGTCATAGTTACGTGGAGTTCTTCTAGACTCCTCGTACCTGGGCGTCGATCCGCTGAAAACACATTCAACACATTGATGATAATCGAATGAAGAACATTAACATTTCAAATATCAATAATTTTTAATAGGAAAACGTGATCGTTATTTAATACATATTTATTATTGCACTTACGAGACTCGCGAACCGCTTTTTATACGTGCTGCCCAATCCTCGGCGGCCTTCTTCCAATCCGTCGGGTCGCCCTTCTAATCCGTCGGGTCGCCGGAAGGAGTGGACAGAGGTGGTGTAGGTCTGTGCGATTGAGCAGACCTGTGATGGCTGGGTGTCATCGAGGGCGGCGGCGGGTGCACGAAGGGCCCTTGATGATGGCTAGGGGTTTGTTGGCCGTATCTGGGAGTAGGCTGGCCATGATGCGGAGTGTGATGAGGCGTCTGGTACGGGGTCATAAACGGAGTTTGGCCAGACAGCGTATACGGCGTGTTGGGATACGTGTGTACTCTGCCGTAGCCGGTAGCGCTAGCCGCTCCGGGTGTGTGTGGCGGATAGTGATGCGGCGTCTGATTCGCCACTTGCGATAGCGAGTGCAACATGTGATGTGGGAGGTTCTGTGCAACTCGCTGTATTGCTTCTTGATTCATTCCTAAAACAATATCGATCGAAATAATAACAATTAATACATTTGCAGTCCTTGTGCTCTTACTTGTGCGTTTCATTTCATTTTAGCAAAAAATTGTAGTTGTTAACACAGAATATATATATATATGTAGAATGATTTTATCTTGAAATACAATATTTTTTCCTAGTAAAATATATTTTGACCTATACTAAGATTCCAGGAATTACTTTCATATAAAAATTATGATGACTGACAGTTCGCGGTGATGATATAGACAGACTTACCGCTAACTGTTCCTGGCGTAGTAGTGTAAGGTGTCCTAGAAGTCATCGCGCCGCGTGGTGTACTCGGAGTGGATTGTCCAGGGATCCCTAAAGTGTTCCTTGAACCAGCGTAGTAGATCGCTCACCCTACCGAACATCTGCGCTCGAAATCTGAGGCCCTCGGATGTCACTGTAACGAACTCGTGGCGACAGCAAGTACGCGGCAGATATATACGAGAGTAGGAACTTTCCAGGATAGGTCTATGGGGGAAAAAAAATTAATGAAATTATTTTTAAATTAAAAGTGAAGAAGATTTTTGGGAAATTGCTGGTGTTACGTGCGTAAACCAGCTACGTGTTTACTTACCTTAGCTGCCGATATGATGTAGGGGATTCCACCAGGATTTTCCTTCTTCTGTTCCTTCAGTATATCCTCTGCTTTGTCTTTGATTCCCTCCACGTTGGGCTTGTAGTATTTGAAGTCCAATAATTCGGAGGCGTAAGCGGCCATGGGATTCACATGTCGAGCGATAATCTCATCCAAATTCTCGAACTCCTCGTTGCCGATCCATAGGCTCTGCGAATTTACAAATATGTAAATCGTTATTTATATAAACATGACTAAATCCCTCAAAGCAAGAATGCAGATCTACTTCATTTTTATGAATGACATTTTCACATATGTCACAGGTGTACAATAGAGTTTCCTACAATATAACAAATACAAATTAACACAATATAACAAATAAATTTATATTACTTAAATAAATAAGAAATAAAAAGCAACCTAACCTATAAGAATGCTTAGTACTGTATAATATATAGATACTAACTTCGTTTGTATTTTCTGGCGATGTAAAATTATCCGTCCCTTCAGCCATACTTATAATTATTTAACTTCTTTCTTATAATTTTTTAACTTCGTTCTTTCTGTGTCACCACGTGTACTTATTTCTCTCTGTGTCACCACGTGTTTTCGGCGTTCGGCGTTGCTTCGCTAAAAGTTCAACCGTGTTGAACTTTTTAGCTAAGCAACGCCGTAACGCCACCTTGACGAAAATTGATGGAGTGGGGGTAAAACGCTGGCTTTTCTTCGCTCCGTGAAATTGTACCTTTAGTCGTGACAGAGCTGGTAGCAGTGCGAAGCTTTAGTACCGACTATACGCGCAACCTGATTGGTGGAGAGCGGCAGCGTCAGCAAGAAGCGCGGTCGTCGACCGGCGGTCGTTGTTCATCAGATTCCCTCGAGAAGGTCTCAAAGACCGGACGTAATTGTCGATCGTTCGAGTTCCCGTCTTTTCTACGCGTTATCCGTGGTTGTTGCGTTCCGCGTACGCGTACCGGTTTCCTACGTTTGTAACCACGTTGACAATACACTGTGATTAAGAGTACTTCGTCGTTGGTGGTCATTGCACCCGTTCAATCTCTTCTTTTTCTGTTTTCTTGCCTCCTGTCTCATACGAGAGGTCCGTTCAACAATACTCTCGTCCTCGCCGTTTCCGTTATCGTAGTTTCCGGTGCGATTCGCGGCTCGTCAAGCTATCTCGCAGATAACTTACAGTTCAGAAGTGGGATATACAAGAAGTGATTCGGGATCGTTAATCGCGAGTGAACCTTGCGCCGCCATTTTGTCGTACGGGAACGTCTCAGTGTTCATCGACCATTCCAGAAATGGATCGTCGTTCTCTCGACAACTTGTCGCTTCAGGACCTTCAAGCCGAAGCTCTTCGTTACGGTATAACGCCGTCAGAAGATCGTAATGCATGCATCGATGCCATAACCGCGCATTTCGAAAGAAACGACGAGATTACTACGCGCCTAGAAAGGAACGTTCTAGAAACGCTTGTTGGAATGGGCGGTGTTCGTACGCAGCAAGTACGCACCATGGATTGTTCTACTGTCCCCACAACCGTAGATATGACCGGTAGTACTAATGCAGCCGATATTAATATATCGACTAGCATCGGATTTCAGAGTGCGTCATCCGACTCGCAGATAAATAACCTGTGTCAGCAAATACGACAACAACAGGAAACGATACAGTTGCTGCTCGCTTCTCTCAATATTAACCGGGATGCTTCTACACCTCCCGTCGCTGCAGCCTCGCAAATTGTATCTCAGAATCAGCCTTCAGTGAATGCAAGTTCCATGCATCGTAGCACGTTCTCAGTTGCTACTGGACAATATGTCAAGCTGTTAGCTTCGCAGCTTTCTTCCTTTGGTGGATCGGAAGAAGAAGACGTGGAATTATGAGTTCAAAAGGTCGAAAGAGTGTCGCCGATATACACGGTGTGCCTCAAGAAGTAACATTGTTAGCGGCTATGTCTAAAAGCCAGCGGCACACAATGCTATTTTATCTGCTGGATTACTAGCTGGATTTGCGTGCTTGCTACCTTGTGGGCAACATTGCTGGCAGTGCTGCTGACCGTGCTGCTGGCTTGGCGACAGACGATGCAGGCTTTTGTACTGGCTTTCGTACTGGCATCCAGTAAATAAATATGGAACTGGTCATTATTACGGCTGTACAACGACGAAAAAAGGCAATTGCCTTATTTCTAATTATTGATCAATTACAACGGAACCAACGTCACCGACGTTTGTGGAGTCGACAATGGTTGCAGCGACGCGATATGAGTGATAGTGTGCTTACAATGTTATTTGAAGGACTCGGGTAAGTATAATTTTTCGTGTCTTATATGTTTTATTTGTATTTCTTGCTTTTTGTATTTCTTCTAGACCTGAAGATCCAAGATCTTTTCAAAATTATGTTCGAATGCAGGAAGTAGTTATAGAGGAATTATTATTTCTCATTACTCCATATATTGAGAAGAAAGATACTGTAATGAGAGAAGCTATTTCTCCTCGAATGAGACTGAGTGCTACCCTCCGATATCTAGCAACAGGCAACTCATTTCAAGATCTCTCATTCTTCACAAGAATTGCTCCAAATACTTTGTCGCAGATTATACCAGAAACATTGCAGGCTATCATTGCAGTCCTTGAAGAAAAAGTCATATCATTTCCATGTAAGCCCAAAGATTGGGAAATTGTTATTGATAAATTTCAAACCATGTGGCAGTTCCCTCATTGTATTGGTGCTTTAGATGGTAAGCATATTTTTTTCGCCCTCCACGCAGTGATAGATCTAAATATCGTAATTATAAAGGGAGAGATAGCATCATTCTTTTGGCCTTAGTAGATGCAGATTATAAATTTATCTTTGCAGACATTGGTAAAAATGGTCGCACTCATGACTCTACAGTGTTCCGCGAAAGTCCATTAGGAATAAAATTAAAAGAAAACAATTTGAATTTGCCACAACCGAGCATTCTGCCTGGATTTAATTTTAGAATGCCATATGTAATTGTAGGAGATGATGCTTTTCCTCTGCATATAAATTTAATGAAGCCATATTCAGAACGTGGCTTGACACAAGACAGACGAATATTTAATTACAGCCCAGTCAGAAATGTAACCTTGATTCAAGGTTAATTCAACGTCGATATGGTTGACAGCTGGTTGAGTCGATAAGAAAGTCGATATTCCTGCAATATCGATCATGTCCAGTGTCGATTCAAGGTTGATTCAACGTCAAAGCGATTAATAGCGCTGTTTTGAGTGCGCACTTATAAAATTCGATCAATTTAGATTTTAATCCTAAAAAATATTACGACATTGTTTATGTAAATTGTACAAAATAATTTTATGGACGTTTAAGAAATGGCGTACCGAGTCGAAATTTTTCTCCTATTTTCGACCTCAATGTTCAATATAACACCTACTTTCGACCAAAATGTTCGACCTAACACCTACTTTGATACTATAAGCAGTCACATCACCCTATTTTGAACCTCTTCAACCTCTGGCTCCTATTTAGAATCTGACAATTCTGTTTGAAAAGAAATCATGCTCCTACTTTAATGTTCCTAACGTTTTCTTAATTTATTTATTGCATTTAGTTTATTTTTATTATTATAGGTTTATTATATTTTCGATTAAATATTATATATGATTTATTAAACGTTTATAATAACGTTTATAATAAATGTTTATAATAACGGTTCTCTCTATTTATTAATTTAATCAAAAATAGTAAAAACAAAATTAAAAGGAATTTTATTAGGTTAACAATAATAGTTTTATTAATGATAACTAAAAAAAATTATTTTATATATGACGTATAAATAATTATTTATATAAAATTGTATTTTTCTATATTATTTTTTCCTTCTTTCTCTCTTTTTTCTTTATTTATTAAAATAATTCAAAATAAAATTAAAAGAATGTGTGTATGTATGAGTACGCATGCGTATATGTGCAACTAAAGGTAGGAAATTTTAAATATATACAAAACTATTACAAAACATTTTTCTTTTTGTTATTACTTCTTATAATTACTTATCTTCATATATTTACATATTACTAAATTTACGATAATTGAATATGGACTGGTATTTATTTATTCAAGCTCTTGCCCAATCAGCAGACAATGTTTTTTAAATGTGTTTTTAATATTCATTTTTTATTAATTATACATTTGTACAATTCATTGTAAAAATAATATTTATTTAATGTTTATTAAATATTTATTTCACATTGATTATTTATTTGAAGTAATAATTTAGAAAAAATATTTATTAAACGTTTATTTAACGTTTATTTAATATTTGTTTTACATTAGTAAGTTATTTGCAATAAGTTAAAAAAACATTTATTTAACATTTATTCGACATTATTTTAATATTTATTTTACATTAACTATTTATTTGCCATAATGAATTGAAAAAACATTTATTTAACATTTATTCGACAGTAATGTAATATTTATTTTACATTAATTATTTATTTGCAATAATGATTTAAAGAAACATTTATTTAACATTTATTTAATATTAATTTAATATTTACTTCAGATATTGCGCTCAAATTTCTTCGCGTTTTGCAAACGCCCGATCGTTTCATTCAGATGTAGATGGCGCGACGCGTGAGTCGCCACTTTCAAAGCGCCCCCACTCTTTCCTCGCTCGGCTCGCTCTCGTTCAGTCAGTTCAGTGTCATGGCCGCTCTTGCTGCGTTTCTTCGGACGAGACGAGTACGTTTTTCTTCTTTCGTAACTGATTGAGCTAAGCGGCACACATTCTGGAGACCAACCGAGCGAGATTCGACTTCCCAAGGAGAGCTCACCGCCAGGAAAAGGGGAGCTGCGGCAGCTCGCGCCCGAGAGGGAGAATTGAGGCGAGGAGTCCGGTCCAGCGAGCAGGGCCCTTCCGATATTCTCATTTGGGACGCCATATTGGAAGATCGACATTGTTCGTAGTAGTACAAGGAGCTCTGCAAGGTTAATCTCGTCTTGAGATCTTGGAATTGCTCTTATTCTTGTTACTCTGGTTTATATTTTGGCCCTAGAATTTATCTCGTAGACAAATGCAGAGGCCCCTCTTTCTTTTCTTCTCTTTTCTTTTCTTACTTTGATTTCAATCGGTAATCCAGACTCCTTAATTCCGTATTATTAATATTATTTGTTAAATGGCATTTGTGATATGCGATTAGTTATTTGGTATTAAGGTATTAATTTTAAGTTTTATTAGTATTAAGATATTTCATTTTAAGATACTCACAATCAGTATCAAGACATTTTTCAATTTTAATTTTAATTTTGTTGAAACTAAATTTTAATTTTAATTTTTATTAAGATACAATACATATATTAATTGTTTTAAATGGTTAAAAAAATTTTTTTTTTTCGTTATGATATAATATGAGTTTAATTTAGATAGTATGCAAGAGTACATGAACAAGTAGATAAAAAAGTGTAAACAAATAAATATATGTTCCTTTGTACCTTAGAAACAAACGTGTGCGATCTCTTAGATTTTTTCTGACTCTCCCCCCTATATGCTATTTACCACATTATCATATTAACATGCTCTATGTCATGTATATTATCGGTGACTTGCAGTGGAGTTTTTATTTAAGGTGATCCTAAAGCCGTGATCCTAGCCGGTTTTTTTCGGTTTTTTTCTTAGCACTAATCTTTTAATTGGCTTTATAGAAATGCAAAATTCTTGTCTAGAATTAAAGTACGCATCAAAATCTAGGTCATGGTGGTCG